TTATCATTGGAAGAATGGTGAAATCATATTGGATGGTGATTTGCTCGCAGGAGTGGACCCAGATGAACTGTGGGATGATACATATATTCCACGCGAAAATGAATACAAACAAAGCGATGAGAATCTTTGTAATGAAAAGATTGATCAAGATGAAATTGATGCTTTACTTGAAGAAGCGGAAGAATTTATTGAAAACTATGATGATGAACACACCAAAAATGTTGAGAACAGACAGAAGACAGGAGTGTTGCAAGTATTTATGAACGATTGAGACGGAGGAATGATGATGATAATTCCGATCAAGATCACTATTCAAATGAAAAATATCAGAATGATGAAGATTTAAATGAAAAGATTCAAGAAATTGAAGAAGACATACAAAAAGACAAGGAAGATGTCGAATCACTTAATGATGAAGAACAAATCAAGGAAACCCGCGAAACATATAAGGAAAATGACGATTTAATTGACCGAATTCAAAATGAAATCAAAAAATGTGAAAATCAAGTCAATGATGTTCGCAAATTTGTGGCAAATTTGGATGATAATGAGAATGAAAGTGATGAATACGACAATAATTATGAAAATGATGAAGTGAATAAAGAGGACATATTCAGTCCAAGGAAAACCAGGAGTGGTAAATCTTATGTTCAAGACAGAATAAAAATGAGACCAACCGAACGTAATAATTGAGATCGACCAAGGTATAATCAACAATACCTAAATTGAGAGAAACCAAAGTGTAGTTTGTTAAAGAACAGGAGTGCAATGAGAAAAAAGGAAAAAGTCAAGAAATTGAAAGGTTATTTGAATCAAATAATTTCAATGAAGGAAAATTCAAGGAAAAGGATCTAAAAAAAAGAGTCAAAATACAATCTACTATTCCAACAGGTTGGAAGTGACAAGAAAGCCAAATATGGAAGAGATAAGGCAACTCTGATTGCGCGATTCATGCAACAAATCAAGGATAAAGTTCAAAATGAAGGAGTATTGTTTATCCAACAGTACTACCTAAATAAGGGACTGAAATTATTCAAAGATGAAGGCAATAAGGCTGTGACGAAAGAACTTGATCAATGGATACAAAGAGAATGTTGGGAACCAATTCATGTTGAAGACATGACTGATTTGGAAAAAAGAAGAGCCCAAGATGCTATGATGTTATTAGCAGAAAAAAAACACTGGTGAAATAAAAGGAAGATGTGTATACAAAGGAGATGGAACTCGAGAATGGCTTTCTCAAGAGGATACTTCAAGTCCGACTGCAGCATTGGAAGCGATTGTGATCACATGTATAATTGATGCATATGAAGGACAAGATATGATGTCTTTGGATATTCCAAATGCATTTATTCAAACTCAAATGCCAATGGATGCAAAATCAAGAGTGATGATGAAGATCACTGGTTTATTGGTCGACATGATGATACAACTGGAGCCACGGTATCATGATTACGTTGTAATTGAGAACGGAAAACGAGTGATTTATATGAGAGTATTGCGAGCCATCTATGGGATGTTAGAGGCCTCTATGCTTTGGTACAAACAGTTGAGAGGAGACATGGAGAAACATGGTTTTATTTTCAATCCATACGATGGATGTATTGCCAACAAGATTGTGAACGGCAAACAACAAACTATTCGATTTCATGTGGACGATCTATTATCAAGCCACATTGATCCAAAAAAGAATGATGATTTTTGTGAATGGATGAATCAAAAGTATGGTTCAATCAAACCAGTCAAATCCAAGCGAGGAAAAATTCACGAATATTTGGGAATGACCCTAAATTTCAGTAAAAGGGGGAAAGTCAAAGTCCGAATGGATGACTATGTTAATCGAATGTTGAATGAATTTCCTGTGAAGTTCAAGGAGAACGTCTATGGGTCGAAGTTCATGCCTTTCTCTTCAAGAATACGATGGGAAGAAGCCTTTTTGTTGACGAGACCCTGGTTGGCAAGACTTCTATCCCACTGGACCAATTTATTGTCAACGAGCAGCTAGCTGCAATCTCCGAGAATACTCTCTCCACAGCATCTGGGTACGAGTTTTGCGACGCCCCGACCGGCTCTGAGTCCTTTTACAAGTATATCACAAGCTTCAACAGTAAGGTTGATGCGCTCTCCCATGCCCACACCGATGTTTCTGCCAAACCAAGTGTTCCTACCGGGGCTGCCCAACCAATCGACCATGCCAGTATCATCAAGGAGGCAATTTTGGCATCAAAGACCACGGCCACAAAGGACGTGGCAACCGAAGCCCAAGAGCGAGTCCTACTGTCCTGGCGAATACTCTTTGGCCATTTCATTACCCACCCGGATGGGAGTGTTGAGTACGTACCCAACTTGCCCTTCGTTTCTTCCACGAAGCCTTTGAACAATCCATTAAAGAGCTCCAACCAACCCGTAATGATTACCATGCTCTCTTCGACTGGGATGTGCATCGCATTCAGGCAGCTGGGATGGCGGCGATCCAAGGAGCCAGCTTTACCACCAGATCTCTAGTAATGAACCCATCCGATGCTTCAGTCTCCTTCAGTTCCTCCCTTCCGACAGGACCGACAAGGACTTGGCCTCACATATTAACGAAGATGAAGAAGCCTGCATGTGGCAGCATGTGATCGACCTCACTGGTGTCGCTGTCCACATCCTCCATGACCTCCAAACCGTTTTCCAGGTCATTGCCTCTGAGGCCAAGGACTTCACTCTCCACGCCCAAGCACAACCACTTGGCACCATTCAACGTGCAAAACTATTCTCTGGCGCAAGAGCCCAGACACAGCTCCTGCTGGACAAGATTGACGAAGGACTTCGAAATTGTCGCCGCCCCAACTATCCCAGGATGTCCGCCCTTAGTGCCCTGATTTCTTCCACCGCGGCCCCCGACGCTTCGCCTTCTGGCAAACGGTCCTCCGAGTCACCATCCTCCAAACAAGATACAGTCGCTTCACCTGCAAAGAAGCCAAAGCGTAGCAACGAGGAAAGCACCACCAGGGGTATGCTCATCTGTACTTCCACCAGACGACCACCGATGCCAGATCAAAAGTGGAAAGTCAACGGTGTGGAGAAGACTGCCTGTGTCAACTTCCTCTTCCAAAACTTCCCGTGCACAAATACTTGTTGCACTTTGCTCCATCTCCATAAGCGAGTGTTCCAATCTCGTCCTGTTAGCGAACAGGAGTCCTTCAAGACCTGGGTCCAATCGACTCTGAACGTCAAATGGGGGCTCCTGGGCAGGAACCACATACCGGTTAGTTTCCTCTTTTTACTTAAGCAACTTTCTTCCTTATCCCAACTTTGCTTTCCAATTACTCCTAGTTAATTTCCTTCTCTCTCATGGTTGGTTGTTGTTGCCCCACCAAGTGGCGGCCGCATCAGTAAGCACTCTTACCCAACAGGTCAACTACTATGCGTCTCGGCCCACACCTAAGTCACATTGCATTGATCCACAGGACGAGTGTGCTCTCCAGGACTATCCCCCAACTCGGACAATTTTTGACGAGCTTGACCCTGCGGACATGCTTGTTGCTGAACGATTCCGCCACATTCTGGAACAGGGCGCAATGGTAACACCTACCTTTACTCGGTTGGAACAATCCCATTTTCTTCGGGATCTAACGAGCAGAACTGCTGTGGAGTCACCAAACGGTAAGGATAGTAATGATCGATGCTTCAAGACAGAAAGTTTTTCTCTACAAGAGCGGCTACTTGGACACAACGACCGGCGATCGCTTGGGCAAAGCTTTCTCCGGAGCCTTACTTCTTCGTCTGTTACTCAAGAGCCACGAGTTTGTTGACTTTCGGCCACTTTGTTCCGTTCTCCCTTCGGATACACCAATGGGCCAAGTCATGCACTGTTGGAGCCGGATGTTCACCGCCTGTTTGTTACATTACAACTTGGATGTAGCCACCGCCGTTTGCTATGTTGGGAACATACATACAGGGGCCCATCGTGATTGAAACGCTTCGGAACCAGAGCTACGTGCGGCATCAGTTGATGATGGTCTTGTTGCAAATTTACGGCGCGTGCTCGTTGACGGTTGTCCGAATTATGTCAACGCTACATTGTCCGAGAAGAATTGGCAATCCTTTGCCGAATATGGAAATCACGACTCGGTTTATACCAATGTCGAAAAAACATAGAAAGCAGTGCAGAAGGATTTCGCCCGATCCCACAGCCTTGTTGGTGACACCTTTCCTTCCAGATACACAGCAGATCCCACAAGGCCTCGTGGTTGTCCCAGGAAAGAGCAATCGTCAAATCTGTGATGGCACTACCAACGATATGACGACCAAAGTGACAGAATTCTATTAGGAACGGGACTCGTGACTCGACCTATAGGATTACCAGGTTGAAGTGTAGCCTGTGCCTTGCACGCGTTGCACGTGCATGAACCGCTACACGCCAGTGATTTAGCAAAGAGAATGCTGAGTCATCAGCGTTCTGCGATAATTCTAGAGATTGGCATGGAAAAGTGATCAACGATCGCTTTTCTCACTGCACGTTGTTTTACCTGAATTGATCTCTATCATCTCGTAGAATAGCAGTCGCACTATAGGCTTTAAGTCTATTCATCTACTTTCATTTATTTCTGTCAGATTAACAGTTGCAGTTACGCCTACAGCTAACTGCATCGATCTCCCCATCAGAGATCGCTGAATTCGTCTCCCATCAGAAGACGAAAACACAACAAACTTGTGGATCGGATCCACAGCGCTCTCGCAAGCTACTGAGCTCCCATCAAGCTCACATTCTCGCAGTCGTGCACATATCCGACTGCAGCGATTGTCCTTCAGAAATTTTACCTGGCTCGTCTTCCATCAAAGACGGGGACAATCATCATTTTGGAATTCGTCTTCCCATCAAAGACGAACAACACAACAACTTGCGGATCGACTTTCAGCGTTTCGCAAGTTCTTTTTGGGCTCCCATCAAGCCCATCCCACCGTTCGATTTGGATTAATTTCTGAGGCAAAGTACTCATAACATTTAATTCGAACGAAGAACTCGGTTTCTACAGGCGCCTGAGTTATTTTTCAAGGTTCGGGACGACACAAATTGGAGTGCACGGCTAGTAGCGGCCCTATCGCAATAGTCGTAAGATATTGCTCTTTATCGTCCTACAATGAGCACCGAACGTGAACTACGACCAACCTTGTCAAGAGGAGGATCTGTATCCTCTTTGATCATCTCATGCGTCCTTACGTTTGGGATTTAATTCACCCATGCAACCATCAACAACCCGCCACCGTCCTCCTGGTCATTGTCCAGAGAGTCTGGAACACATCCTGGTTGAGGTTCTTGATCTCCCTCCGGATGGTATTCTTGCTCAAGCATTGAAGCATGCTAAAATTACTTGCTTCATTGACCTCATGGCTATGACCGATGTGGCGATTGACTCTCTTGTTCATCCAAGAAGTCAAACACCTGATGATGAAGGCGATTTCCAAGATGATCAACTTGCCCTGGTACCACTGTCTATCCGCAGTCTCATCAAGGTCATCCAAGGATACGTTTACTACCGCAAACATGTCCATAACGATCCTGTCAACCCTGACATCTGCATGGATATTGACTATGGAAGTGTACTTGACTATAGAGCTTCTGGAGAGTTCTTAACTTTTGGTATAGAACTATTCCACAACCTCTTGTCCAGAAACCCAGTCGTCGTACCCCTGCTGATGCATTCGATAGAAGCATCAGACGAGACCTGTCGTCTTTCCCTACTTTTAGCAATGACAAGCAATGGGAAAACTACAATCGTAATCTCGTAGCCATCTGTCGCACTTACGGTCTACAAAATGTCCTTAATCACAAGTACCGCCCACAAACTGTTGATGAAAAGGACCTCTTTGACCGTCAGCAGGCGTTCATGTATCAAGTCTTTACCACGGCTCTCCTCACCAATAAAGGCAAGCAATTTGTTCGTGAGCATCAAGCAACCTTCGATGCGCAGAAAATTTACAATCAACTTGCTAAAGCCTACACTAAGTCTGTTAAAGCTGATGCCACCGCTACTGGACTTCTATGATGGATTATGACCCCCAGGCTTGATGATTCATGGTGCAACACACATGAATCATTCATCATCCATTGGCAAGAACAAGTACGCAAATACCACACCTTGGCAGACATTAGTCAAAGGATGCCAGAAACCCAGCAACACCTGCTACTCGAACAAGCCCTTATTGC